TATAAGCATAACTATTAAATAAATTAAATGAAACTATTAAGTTAAGTTAAATGAAACTATTAAATTAAGTTAATATAAATGGTGTTAAATGAATGTAACATATAAAATTTTTCGCTATATAATAACCATTATAATAAAATAATAATCCATGTTCAACAATATATAAATATATATAATTGTTTACATTCATTTACAGTGAAACGAGTGTTAAAAATCAACTAACAATAAAAGGGGATAAACATAATAAAGTTTTATTTTAATTTAATACATATTGAAATTAAATATGGACAAGTAATCAAGATTAATCGTTGTGTTGGAAATTTAATTAAAAATAAATAAATGTGTAAGACTTTTATTAATTTTTTAAATTTTTCTTAAATAAGTAAAAAAATATTTATTAATTTTTTAAATTTTTCTTAAATAAGTAAAAAAATATTTATTAATTTTTTAAATTTTTCTTAAATATTAAAAAAAATATTTAATATAGAATCTTTATTATCCAATAGTAATATTAATTTTTCCAATTTAAATGAAAACTCCCAATCTTCGCCGAGAATTCAAAGACCAAAAAGAATACACAAATATTGGAATAAAGAAAAAATAGATATAGTTACTAAAATGTTATCAATGCCAGAAAGAGAACAGATGAAAATTAAAGACATTGCAAAATACGTCGAAATGTCTACAGCATCAGTTCATAAATTTAGACGGGACACATTCCCAGATATAAATGGAGAACCTTTAAAAGAATATAATATTCAAAAAAGAGGAAGTGAAAAAAAAGATAATTCCATAATTGAAAGACTCATCATAAATTTATTGATGGATAATAATACTCTTACTATCCAGCAGATAATAGAAAATTTACCTCCTGGTAGTCCAAGAACGAAAACAACAATTAGCAAATATATCAAAAATTTAGGTTGGTCGAAAAAAAGAGCTGGCAAGGAGCCTGATAGAAGAAACACTCCTGGGGCAATCAATATTCGTCAAATCTATTGTGTAAAGATCTTAAATACCCCAAGAGAAAAATTATATTTCTTAGATGAAACTGGAATAAACTTGCACGTTGTACTACGCCTGGGCACCATACAATGTCCGTCCAGTAATAAAAATTCCATCCTCTAAGGGTAAAAATGTAAGCATACTTTGTACAATTGGAATTGGAGGGGTAATTCATTATAAAATAATCGAAGGAGCTTATAATGGGTTGTTATTCCGTGATTTTATGACAGAGCTTATCAGTGTACCACCAGATGCAATTATTATAATGGATAATGCATCTATCCATAGAAGCCATCTTATCGATGCATATAAAGATAGGATTGAATATCTACCACCATATTCACCTCAGCTAAATCCCATCGAAAATTTTTTTGGAGTCTTGAAAAATAAATATCGACAATAAACCCCCGCCCTAATTCAAGAGATGAAATTATTGGGAATATTATTCAGCTCTTACAAGGATTTATTTCTTATGATTTTACTAACTTTTACAATCACATGCAAAACTATTTGGAGTTGGGTTATCGCGGGCAACTGATTAATTAGGTAATCCTTTTAATTGATTTGAATTAATAATTATAATATTAACTCTTTTAATTTCTAAATAGGTACCATCATCAAATTCGTGGAACAATTTGATAAATTATAATAATATTTTTTATGTATTAATTATTTTATCGAAGTTATTATAAAAATATATAGTATTATCATATTTTTATCGAAATAAATTGGTGCAAAATTTCAAAATAGATTACATTTAAGAAATTCTAAAATATTTTCAAATATCAAAAAAACTTTTTACAAAAAATGATTTAGAATTTTAGATAAAATTTAAACAAAAATCTTACTTGAACATTCTCAAAGAAGATCAAAAAAAATTTCCATTTTTTATTACAAATTTATATTTAATTTACAATATAATTTCTTTTGATTAATTTAAAAACGATTATTCTTGTTAATTAATTGCTTGTCCATATTTAATTTCAATATGTATTAAATTAAAATAAAACTTTATTATGTTTATCCCCTTTTATTGTTAGTTGATTTTTAACACTCGTTTCACTGTATATATATGAATTTTTAAACAATAGTTAATTATTTTTATATTACAGTATTAATATGATTTGTTGTAACACATGTCAACAATGCGAATAAACATTCTTATATGGTGTTCAAACTTAATTATTGAAAAAACTTGTTGAGAAAATTAAATTTTTTTTTATTAATTATAAAAGTTTGAAAACTTAATGAAGACAATTTTTCAAAATTTGAACAGGAACGAATATAGCTTTTTTAATATTTTGGACATAGGTTTAAAAGAGAAAATGAGTATTTAAAAAATCTACTATAAAAATAATTAATTAATATTTTTACTTTTAAAGTATTATTCCATATTTTAATTTTATTTGTTAAGATTTTTTTATGATCAATTCGAGACGCCAAAATTAAAAAACACTATTTATTTATTCTTATATATATATATCAGAGACCTGCAGGCCCGGCCCTATACCCGGCCCGACAAAACCCGGCCCGGGCCGGGCCGTATTTTAAATTTTTTAAATATACCCGGGCCGGGCCGGGCCTAAAAATTTTTTTTTAAAATATATCCGGGCCGGGCCTAAAAAAAATTTTTTTAAAATATATCCGGGCCGGGCCTAAGATTGTTAAATCCGGGCCGGGCCTTAATATTTTTTATAAAAATTTTTACATTATGAGTTAATGTTTATAAGGTTATATTATATTATAGTTATGATTAATATAATATTGGGTGATGGTTAACACACCACCCACAGATCATCTAATTATTAATTTCCTGCAAATTACAAAGTATTAATATATTTTTTTATAATTCATATCTAAATTTTTACAACATATTTTACCAAAACAATCAAATAAAGGAATATCTTAAATAAACCCCAATATTCAAGTATTAATAATATATATTTTTTATAATTCATATCTAAATTTTTTGAATATTTACCAAAACAATCAAATAAAGGAATATCATGGCACAAAATACTAATAATATAATTAATAAAATTAAAAATAATATTTATTCTTTTAGAAATACAAATAATAATTTAAAATCTGAAATATGGGCTAAATTTAACATCATCATAGATGAAAATAAAAAAAACATTGTCTACGTACAATGTAAAAATTGTTCAAGTATATTATCTTATAATTATAAACATGGTACATCACATTTAATAAGACATAAATGTGATGGTAAATCCATGAAAATTAATAAAAAATTTTTACACCTGAAAAACCATTTATTTTTATTTTATAAATTAAATAGTAAATTAAATACAATATATTATATTCTCAAATATTTTCCATTTTTATAAATTAAATATTAGTTTTATTTTTTTTAAATGCAATATAAAATATAGTATATGCTCAAAATATTATTACCATTTTTATGAATATTAGTTTTATTTTTATAAATGCAAAAAATATAGTATATGCTCAAAATATCCATTTTTATAAATAACAGTTTTATAATTTTTATAAATTCAATATAATATTCTCAAAATATTAGCTTTTTCATGTATTTTTTAAATAATAAGCGATAATACTCGCTGAAAAATATGGTAAAATACCTCATGGGTGAATTTTTGTATATACCAGGTCGAATATAATTTTAAAAAATTCCGAGCCGGGCCTGAAATTTTTTTTAAAAAATATCCGGGCCGGGCCTTAAATTTTTAAATCCGGGCCGGGCTGGGCCGTAAAAATTTTTTTTAAAATTTATCCGGGCTGGGCCTTAAATCTTTAAATCCGGGCCGGGCCGGGCCGTAAAAAAATTTTTAAAAAAATATCCGGGCCGGGCCGGGCCTAAAAAATTTAAAACCGGGCCGGGCCGTGCAAATGGTGCCTCTGCAGGTCTCTGATATATATAAAATATTATACAATACAAATCAATTATAAATTCAATCATTTAAAGGAATGCATCGAATTCCATCTTCAATGAATTTTGTGGTGTGAGAATAAAAATTTGAAAAATTATATGTAAAATAGCTCCTCAAAATACGCGTAACAGTAGCAATAACTTCTATTCTGTTAATTGGTTTAGGATAATTTGATCGGTATTGATTTTTAAGAACTCCGAAAAAATTTTCGATCGGATTTAATTGTGGAGAATAAGGTGGTAAAAATATGATATTTGGATAATTTTCACTAATTATCCTCGCTCGATGTATAGGAGCATTATCCATTATAAGAAATGAATTCGATGGTAAAATTGTATATAAGTCATCGAGGAATATTTTAAATTTTATGGCAGTTTGTGGGAATGGTTAATAAATATTTATATAAAATTCTTAAATTAGGGAAAGCAGAAAAATTTTAAAGTAAACGATATGGTAAAATAAATGAATAGTTTTTCCAATCTAAATCGTAAGTCCCTGAATTATCATCATCATCAGAAGAAGCTAAATAATGTATTGGTAAAAATATTTTAATTAAATAAATTTACAATTCTCAGAATCTGACAAATCTTTAGATTCTTGAACCTCTAGGTTATGAGTAATAATTACATTCCCCATTTTGGCCATCTTATAAATATTTCTAATCTTCAACATTTCTTCGAAAATTTGACTTGAATTTAAATTGGCCCCATCTATAATTGTGAATTTTTTCATTCCACTTATTCCTATTGTGCATAGGACTGATATATTTTTACCTTTAGAGGGAGGTAACTTAACAGATGGCTTTTTCCTAAGGGTGCCCACCCATAGTGTGAAATAATGTGAGTGTTAAAGCCTACCTCGTCCAGGAAGAATATATTTTCAAAAGAAATATTTTTCCTTTTTTCACAATATTCCTTTCGATTTTGAATGACATCTGGGGCGTTTCTCCTATCGGGTTCTTTTCCAACCCTTTTCCGACTTCAACCCATTAATTTTATACTTTTCGATATTGCCGACTCGCTCATTTTTAGATTGAGCGGTAATTGTTCTATAATATTTTTTATGGTGTAGCCGTTATTATTATCTAATAGCTTGTAGTTCTGCGTTATCCTTCTTTTTCCGTCCTCGTTGTTTCATTATATAATCTTTTAATGGGTCGTCGTAATATTCAGGGAAGGTTTCCCGCTTGAAGCGATAAACTGAACCAAGGGATAAATTAAGGTCTTGGGCAATTGTCTTTGCTTTGGGCTGATCATCAATTGGCTTGCTCAGCCATATTTTAGCCAATTCAATTTTTTCATGACTCCAGTTACCCTTTTTTTTCCTCATAGGAATAGGATCAAAATTTGATTGTTCTTGAATATTCGAATTTTGATATCGATTTGTAATGTCAGAAAGACATCTACGGGAATTTGCTTTGGTATCTATTTGTTATTTCAGATAACCCCCCAAGAGAATATGAAGTTTCATTAAATGTATCTAAAATTATGTATATAAAGTTAGTAAATAATCAAATATAATATTAACAAACCTGAAACTGGAGAAAGATTTAAAATACTAGCGATAGTAAAATTTGACATTTAAAAGAAATAGAAATACAGATTTTAATCTGAAAAAAATTATTAGAAATTTAAAATTAAAATTGTCGAAAATTTATAAAAGTAAACATAATAAAGTTTTAAATCAAGTTAAATTACAAGTTTTTAAAAATAACAATGTTTTTCGCAACATGTTCTTTGAATTAAAATTTTTTTAAAAAGGATCTATTTTTCTCAACAAGTTTTTTCAATAATTATGGAAAGTTTGAACACCATATAAGAATGTTTATTCACATTGTTGACATGTGTTACAACAAATCATATTAATACTGTATATCTGTTGTGATTGTGGTGATAATTGGATGTTATAATTATTTTTTTTGTCCTGGATTATTTTTATATATTTATTTTATAATTAGTTTGGCGTTTGAATTTATTTTTAGTAGAATAGTTTTATTTATATATGTCGTATTGGGATATGGAATCATGTGGGATTCGGAATCCCCACGTTTTATTCGGGATCTTTTTTTTTTAAATATTTAAAAAATATACCGAATCCCCATGAAAAAAAATAAATATTATAATTACTTTTTCTTCTCTTTTTTTGCAGCTGGCACCATATAATTAAAAGGCCAAAATAAGGGATTTAAAAAGAGAATTTAAAAAAAAGTAAAATTAAGGCATATAATAAATGAAAAGACATTTTTGGTTTAATATTAAAATATATTACTTTTTTTTCTCTTTTTTTGCAGCTGGCACCATATAATTAAAAGGCCAAAATAAGGGATTTAAAAAGAGAATTTAAAAAAAAGTAAATAGTATAAAATTAAGGCATATAATGAATGAAAAGGGATGAGGTTAAGACATTTTTGTTTTAAAAAATATATTTATAAAAAATCCGAATTATTGCAACAATTATTCATGCAATATGGCATTTCGTTGAACATCTAAACAGGGACCCGAACGGTTATTTATAACGGTTCAGTTTGGTTAAGGTTCAGTATATAAATAATTATAATGGTTACGTTTTGAGAAGAAATTTATAAAGGTTCGGTTTGGTTCAGCTAATTATAAAGGTTAGTAAAAATTCATTACGGTTAGAAATTTTTTTTTTATTGAAGCAATACCATCTTCTAATTAATTTTTATTATAAGCATCTGTGAATTATATATAAAAAAAATATATAAGATTCAAAATAACTCTAAATATATTATTTGAACTTATAAGTAATATATTTTCAAGTATAAATGGATTCCTTTTTGTTTGTTGTGACGATAACACAAATTTTAGCCCCGATAAAGCCCTTTCTACAGAAACTTGTGTTGAGGGAACCGCCAGTACTATAAGAGCACGTTTATATAATTTGGATATTCAAATTATTTCCATTTCTAAAATATAAAAACTGAACCGGTTTAACCGTCTTTTATAAAGGTTCTTTTTACTCCTTCAAAAAATAATTATATCGGTTAGGTTACGGTTATGGTTCAGATATTTATAACAAAAATAAAATTTTTTTAAAAAAATATTAAAGGGGAATCGGAATCTTTTTTTAAAAAAAAACAATTAAAATATATTTTTTTGCCACCTGGCTGGCACCAGAAAATTTTATTTTTTAGAGATATTTAATATGTATTACTTTTATGCTTTAAATCATTTAAGTACTCGAAAAAAGGGTTTTAATATAAATTATATGTAAAAAAATAAATATGGCAATGAAAATATTCACGCCCATTCACGCTTACCACTAAAAAATTTTCGACCCGACCCGCCCGCTCACGAAAGGCAGTATTTGTTTCACGCCCGAAAATTCGCGGTGTTTTTAAATTTCTCAAAACTTTAATGCTATAATTTTTTACACTTTTCTATTTATTTCTTTAATTCCATTAATCCATAATAACAAAAAATAAATACACATTATAAATCCAAATTTTTACTTAGAAAAAGAAGAATGTCTATTTTTTTTTATTTCAATTGTGTACGCCTTTCCTCTAATATGCGATTGGCTACAGAAAATAACCTTTCACTAGAAGCCGAATTTGCCAGGGCTGACAATATTTTACTCTCTAATTTTCAAGGAAATAAATTTTCCTGCTTCCAAAACTTCAAAATATTGTATTATATTAGCAGTTGATGCCTCTAATGAAGGTATAGGAGGAGTTTTATTACAGATGACCGATAATGTTGGCTATTGTTATTTGTTTTATTTTAATTTTATTTTGATAATATTGTTATTGGTATAATTTTTAAAAAAATGATAAAACACTAAAATATTAAAACTATATAAAAATATATAAAATTATTAAATAAAAATATATATTGGTTCTTAGCCTTTTTTTTAAAAAACATTTGAATAATCTCAATCTCGATAACGTTGGATTACAACATTAAAGATAGAGCCTATCTTAGGTTGGAGTTACATTAAGAATATAGGTCCTAATTATAATTGGTGATCTTTGTTTGAAACTGTCCTTGTGAACAACTGTGAATGAAGAAATATTACAAAGGGAGAATTATAAGACTGAGTTACCTAGATAAAACAATGCACTGAAAAGAACACCAGAATTTTTGATTAGATACAGAGGCAATATATAAGAGAATAATTTACCAAAGATTTTAATTTTAAACAAACATATAATTAAGAATAAAGTAGAACTGGAGGAGATTGTTGAAAGTAATTTCTGTCTTGAAATAAATAATATTTTAAATCAGTACAAGAATATTTTTAAAGAGGATTTAGGTATTCTATGTACAAGTAGATAAAAAATTATTAGAATAGTACCAGGTTAAATTTTGTGGCTTAAGAAGATTCCCGTCTTCCTAAATAAATCATTAAAAGAAGGAATAATAAGACCAATAGTTCATAGCGTCTGGGCGACACTGTTAGTCCTCATAAGAAAACCGGATAATAGCTCGAGATTATATATAGATAATAGAACATCATTACTGTGGATAATAACAGTGAAATATCCTTTACCAAGAATAGAGCAATTATTGGCTAATCTAAAAGGAGCGACATTTTTCTCCAAGATAGATTTTTCTAATGCTTATTTACAGGTTAAGGTGAATGAAAATGCAAATAAAATTTTAATAATTATAACATACAGAGAGTTGATGCATTATTTAGACGATGTTTTGATATCAGGTATAACAGAACATAAGCATAATACCAGATTAATTAAAGTGTTAAACATAATATTAGAAAATTGTTTAAGATCTAATATTTAAAAAAAGTATTTTTGGAGTAAAGGAAATAATGTATTTAGGACATATAATAAAAGAAAATAAAATTTCTACGATTGCAAAGAATATAGATAGGATTGTGAGCATGAGAGCACCGAGGAATTACAAGCGTTTTTAAGAGCTGTTAATTATTATCATCGTTTCATACAGAATTTTTCTGATATAGCTAAACCGTTGTATAAGTTATTGAAGAAAAATTTGAATGGGTAGTAATACATAATGAAAGTTTTGAAATATTAAAGATAAAAATGGTAGAAAATCTATTTTGAATTGTTTTAATGAAACATTAGATATTATATTGGCAATGGATGTATATCATGAAGGTATAGGGGTAGCTTTGTTACAAATTGTTGATAATGCAGAGAAATTTTATTTTTGTTTAGACTGTTTACTGAAAAAAAATTATTTAACAATAAAAAAATAAGCTTCGCAGTCAGGTTTGGTTTAACTAAGTGTAGAGAGTATTTATTAGGTCGAAAGTTTTCATTTTATACGGATCATAAATCGTTGGTAGATTTGTTCAAAAAAGACAATAAACAATTGATGATTTCACCGAGATTGCAAAAAATGGTTAATATTGGTTGGTAATTTCGATTTTGAAATAAGAATCAAAGTGGGTAAACAAAATTGTCTACTGATATATTATCGAGACTGTTTAATAAAGAAATTGAAAACAAAAATATAGAACTCGTAATTAATAGTTTAGAAAATATTAGCGAAGAATATGAATTAAATATTAATGTTATAAAAGCTTTGAAGATGGATGCAATTAGATAAGATATCCAAGCAAGATGGAAAATTAATGAGAATTAGAGCTTGTTTGAAAAGAGATATAGAATAGAAAAGTGTAGACAAAGCGTAACAAAAAGAGTGAATTAAATATAGAAGACAATTGTTTAATGAGAGGATATCATTTAGTGATACCAAATATATTAAGAAAAGACATTTTAGCAGCGGTACATGCCGGACATTAAGGCATATAAAGATTGAACAATAAAGCACGTGAGTATATTTGGTGGCCCAAAATGAATAGTGAGATAGAAGAGATAGAAGAAGTAGCTAAAATTTGTGTTACATGTAATATGTGTGGTAATGTACCAGCAAGAAATAAGGAAGATAAATGAGACGAACATTCCATGTGAAAGAATGCACGTAGATTTTTTAGAGTATGGAGAGAAAAAATATTTTAACATGGTAGATGCTGGTTCAAAATAGAGAAATTGTCAACAGGTGTCAGGTTTTATCAACAAAAGTAGCTTTAGATGTAAAGTATTATGTAGGTAAATATGGGTTAATGAAAACATTCGTATCAGATGGAAGTCCAGCGTTCAAGGGAAGAGTTTGCAAATTTTGTGATAGATGGAATATTGAACATTTATTTTCGCCATCACATTATCCAAGAATGGGCAAGCTGAACAAATGGCAGATATAGTTAAAGGTTGGTTAAAAAAAGAAAAATAAGAAGAAGGAAAATAGTGGTTATCATTGTTAGCATACAAAAACACTAAGACTATCAAAGGAAATTCGCCAGCAGAGTTGTTTTTATGTAGGAGAAAACAAAAACTGAATTGGAATTTTTGAAAAGAAAAGTAAAGTAAAAAGAGACTATAGGTTGTGAAATATTTAAAATTAGAAATTTAGTTTGGATACTGCTGTTTGATGGTCCAATTAAATGGGAAAAAGGTGTAGTAAGGAAATATATAGAAAAAAAGTAGGGGTAGAAATTGAAGGACAAGCAGGAACCTGGTCAAAACATATTAAACAGTTAAGACCAAGATGTGTAGGGCAAAAATAACAACGTGTTTGAAATTTATAGAGTTCTGGTAGTACGCTTTAGGGAGTTCATTAGCTATATTAAAAAAATTTTTTTAACAAATAAGCTCCTAATAAGTCTAACAATATTTTGAACAATATACAAAGATTAATTATAGTTTTGTTTTGACTGCTCGTTACTAGATATTTTAAAAAAGGTTCCTGGTTCGGTTTTTTAAATTAATTTTAATTTATCGGTTCCGAAAATCCCAGGTTCCATTTTTTTCGTTTCTAATCTGACACAATGTCCCTAACTAATTTGTCAGAATCGAGCTAGGGAACTTTCGATTAAAAGCACATTCGTTTTTTAGATTATACAACCCAGAGCCTGAACACTGATTTTAAGTCTCTATATGTCGTAGAAGTTTATCACCTTCAAGGTTATAGACCCAGGTTTTTTTTAGCAAATTTCAAAATATCTATAGCGCGCCTTTTCTAATTTTAACACTTGATATTACCGCAATCATATTCCAGCATGCATAGAGCAACTCACCCTGTTTAAATTTCAAACAATTTTGTCATATAATTGTCTATTTCGTTATATCAATAGACTTTCCCTTCTATCCATAATTCATTACTTAATAATGGCTGATTATATAGAAAATATATCCGTTATATATAATATTATGGCATTTTTATAACTATATATTATCCCTTTTTTTAAATTCAAAGCTCTTAGTAATAGTATTTAATGAAACTACTAATCCTCAATATAAGTTATGTCTAACTTATGGAATATTACAGATTGTATTTATATTTAATTGAAGTCACTTAGCTAACAACAAACAATAATGACGAAACAACTTTATTTGTAAAATTTTTATCAAAGATATTTAAGTTAATAAATATATGTAATGTGAAAATATTATATCAAAAATAATTTTTTTTTATTTACAGCGTATTGAAGTAGATTAATGTATTAGAATTTTTTTGATAATGGCGATGGTAAAAAAAGTAATTTGTTCATCTCATCAATGATTCTATATTTAATATTATATTTAGGTAACGTGTATGTTTATGTGGCTACTTTTTAACATTTAGGAACAAAAATGAAATCACAATATTATTATTTAGAAATAATTGTGAAAATATGTATATTAAAATTTATAAATTTTTATCACAAATTATTTGAAGAGATAAGATTATTTTTAGTTATTCAGGTTGGATGATATTTAGAAATAAAACTTAACTTGAATATAAAGTTTTATTTGTAATTTGTATAAAATAGAGATTATTTTTAAAATGGAATAAAAAATTAAGCTCAAAAAATAAATATTTGAAGCACATATTTATATTAAAAAAATGAATTATGATAATTTAAAAGAGTTAAATAATAATACATATTCAAATGCTTGCCCAAGTAATACAGTGTTAATATCCAAACATATACATCATCTTACCTATTTTTGTAATTATACTAGAAAAGTAGGATATATATATAGTTTATTTAATAATTAAACATCTAAAGGGCTAAATCGATAGTGAGAAAACTTTGACAATTTTCGGTTCTCATTTTTCCTATGATTAATATGTCCTGGGTCGAGATGTGTCATCTCTAAATGGTTTTTATTATCTGATTAGTAACCCTATCTTCTTTAAAAGAAGAATTCATTAAAGCATGTTCTGCATCGATCTTATCTAACTCGGCGCGACTTAGGTGATCCACTATACCGGCTCCTATACCATCGCCCAACACATTTACAGACGTTCTTATGCGATCTCTTATATTTTTAAATATTCATTAAATTTGGGAATTAGAATGTACATTCATTGATTTATGTATAAATAAATTAAATTTTCCCCTAAACTAAACCTAACCCAAAACTATGTTAAAAATAATTGATTAAAAATATATTATAAAAGCATTACTGACAGAGCTTACATTATCATCCAAATTTTATTTATTTATATACTTATAAATACTTACAGAAGCCAATCAACAGCAACTATAAGATTAATGTCTTTAGTCGGAAGTCCCACGGATGTTAAAACTAATAACATAATAACTAAACCTGCACTTGGTATACTAGGGCCGCCTATACTTGCTATCGTTGCTGTTAAGCTATAAAGATATTGAAATATAAATTTTTAGGATTTTTTTGCATTAAACGATATTTATCCCTATTTTCCTGCTAAACACGAAGAAAAAATAGCAGGCAACATATAGTAAACAAATATAAAATTATGGTTTGTAAGATAATAATTTAAACCCAACTGTAATAATTTGTCCGGCATTTAATTTAATCCCATTGGTTTGTAAGATAATAATTTAAACCCAACTGTAATAATTTGTCCGGCATTTAATTTAATCCCATTTATTTGAGCTATAAACAATGCCGCTACCGCTTCATAAAGAGCTGTTCCATCCATATTTATAGTGGCACCAACGGGTAACATAAATCTGGTAACTCTTTTATCTACTTTGTTAATTTCTTCCAGACATTTTAAAGTTATGGGTAAGGTTGCAGAGCTTTATATTATATATATATATTATTTTTAATTAATATTATGATGTCTATAAACATTAGTATACTCTTTGCTAAATCTGCTAGTCTTTCAAATCTCATTTATGAAGTTTCTAATTTATGTTATAATATAAATTGTAGCATCATCTATTTCCAAGAGTTACGAAGGTTATTATTTTAGGGTCTGCCAGCCAGAATATTAATTATCTCAAAATAAAGGGCTTTTCAAATAAGCTTCCATAAAATTAACACCAATAATTACACTCTACTAGGTTGAAATAGATCAAAAGAAATATTTTACAGATATGGAATAAATTTTTAAAACACAACTATAAATATTATGTAACATCAAATGGGGGTAGGGTAAAAACTTTAAAAAAAATGGAAACACAAAATAAATAAAATACATTTTTTTTTATAAAAATAGAAACTTACTTGAATCTAATTAGAGGGAAAATTGCCGTTAAAACAACTGATTTATTTAAATTCCTATTCGTCTATTTATAAGTATATGACCTGTCAGATTTGACAAGTAATTTAATTAAAAAAGGGTTTAAATTTTATTAAAAAGCAATCTAAACCCTAATTAATATCTCTCAAACCTTTTAAATAACACAAATCCATCTCTCTAACCAGTAGAGTCACCAGGGGTGGGGGGCGCAGGGCCTCGAGTTTTCTGAAAAATTTGTATAGCTTCCTGAAGCAAAAAGAAATTTTTTTATTGGCTCCCTAATATCCCTTGAACTAAAAGTAAATTTTTTTGATAACCCCCTGAACTATTACTTTTATAATTCTATTAGGTATTATATATATGATTTATTTATTTGAAAATTAATAAAACTATCTAAATTTTTACTAAATGAGTGCTATTATAATTATTAAATTAGATTAATACATATATAAATTATATTTTCACTTTATCAGCTTGCACAATCAAATTCTGTGTTAAAAATGGAGTATCAATCATAATGTCTAAATATCCATTTAGCATCAATTGACGCGTAATTGATTTTTATTATTATTTAAATTATTTTATAACCCTAATTAAATAAATAAAATCATTTATTAATTCAAAATTAACAAATTCAAGTAATTAGCCGAGTTCAAAATCACTAATCCATTGTTAAATTTAATTACCATGCCTCTTTCTAAAAATATTTCCAAGGTCCAAACAAGAATAAGAAATTTATTTATAAAAAGTAGACATATAGTTGATAATCCTCTATTAATTGGTTACAAAATATTAGATAAAATGCCATTTTTACAGACATATTTGAATGTTATAGAATATATTAAAGTTAATATTTTAATAAACTTTACTAATCGATGCTTTTGATAATAAATATAAGTAACAATTTGCATTCAATTTTTTAACGCCATCTATTTATTTTAATAAAATACTATTAAAAATTAAACATCTTATTATTTATCCCTCACATAATCCTTATTAGATATCTTTTTTGCTTCTCTTTTTACGTATTTTTAGGAAAGCTATTTTTTTCTTATTTGGAAAACAGTTTTGATTTTGATATTATTATGAACTACTATAATTTTAAGATATAATATACAAACTAGAGGTGGTGCGACAATAATATGTAAAATTTTAATTGCTCTAATCATATCACGCTGGTCCTTATCTTATAGTTACAAAATGATTCATTTCTAATATGGCATCCTTACAGTGTAAAAAAGTCAAGACTTCAATATATATGCGTAATTATTTCTTCTAGATTTTTAGTGTTTTTGTTTTATCAATTTATATAACATAACAAATTGGGATATGAGTTTACATCGTGAGTGTCATGGCAATGACTGCAAAATAGCCAAAATCTATTATTTGTGTGGCTATTATAATTTAAGATTATTATTTCTGCTGCTGATAGCATTGATGTATATTTTAGATGAGCAATAACAGTAAACTGTCTAGTCATATATCATTAAAAATTTTAAGATAATATTTTAGAAATTTAATATCTCACAATAATTTACTCGATTGCTTATCTAGTTTCCATAATGATATCTAAGAGGAAGCTCTAACCTCCATGTAGTATATGATTTGAATTAGTAGTTTATATTCTCTTCTTCAAGAATTATTGATTTGGTTAGGCCTACAAATTTTTCCTCATTAGTCCATTCTATAAAACATTGTCTAAAATGGTAACACAACGTTATAATAGTTTTATAAGAAGAATTATATTGCTGTGGTTTTTGAAAACCAGTATCAATTGAGCCAGTGTATAAATTAATTAACCTTTTTTTACTCACTTGTAATTCTTGGGACGTAAAATTTTTTATATTCATAACGAAAATATTAATTTATTGTAATAAATGGGTAAATATATTTTATTAAAGAAATGTTATCTTTAGAAATGTCTTGTATTGTTTTGCTCTAATTATTTGTATGCATAATAAATGACAAAATATGAAATTCAAAATAATTGTTCAGAGTTTCCAAATTTCAATTAAAAAGTATAATATATTAATATAAAACCCGGCCGAAGGCCCTCTTTTGCCTGGCCTTTGGCCCGCAAAATAGGGTGTATGGGGGTTTTAACCCCCTGAGATTGTAAAGGCTAGTGACACTCTTCTAACCATTAATCGTCCTGCTCCTTAGCCTTATTTCATATATTTGTTTAATATTAAATATATTTCATCCAATTAAAAAATTTCCGTTAATTGAACATTCATTAAGTTGAGTGGTTATCAAAGCATTTATGAGTAATCAAGGTTAACCTTATTCATGTGATGGATTTTCTATAGATAACATATCCATGTTTATAATTATCCTTGAGCCATAATAAATTTTAATATATATATTTTTTAAAAAAAGTCACGATTTGATCTTATATTGTTTTTTAAAGTTTCATTAGTAATTTAATTCATTTTATTTTTAAATCACGTATTAAATGTGATTTATTAAAAATATATCCATTCAGACATAAATAATTAATGAAATCATAAGAAACCAGATAAATTAAAAAGAACATCTATAAATGGAAAGGACTGATATTTTGTTTATATACAAAATTGGCAACACTAATACTTTTTGGAATGGACATTGTAAAAAATTATGAATTTTATTTTTCTCATTCATCTATATAAATCAAGATTCTTGTACGTAATTCAATAATATAAAATTTTTTAATATACTTATCTTATAGTTAAAAAAATGACATAGCTTATTCCTCAAATTACTACTATGAGGAGTGATGCACTTCCATAAGATATACTCCAATGTCATTACTTTAATGCACTTTCCTCCTTGTTTACTTTAGTTATTGGGGTTGGAGACAAGACAAAGGAGGTACAAACAAATTACAAAAGAATATAATTTAATAACCCCTTGGCAAACTATCTCAAGACTTTAACAATTTCATAAAAAATGATTGAGTACTAATTTATATGCATATTATTTATTATATATAACCTTGAAGAAGTTCCCAAGGCGGTGACCCAGGCTTGCAACATTCCTCTCATAAAAATGTAAGGATTTTTTCTGGTCAGTCCAAAATACACTAAAGGTAAAACTATCAAAGCGTGTATGGCCAGACCGGTTATAACGGTTATTATATACATTCCCAACTGTTCCATCAATTGTGCTATGTTTTCAATGAACAGAATTTTACCAGCTATCAAACACATGATACCGAAAGGTGAATACCTAAATTAACCGATATATAAATATATATATAATTAAAAATTTTTTAGTTTAGATAATGTACACAATATATTTTTTTTGCTTACCACATGATCAAATAAACGAGTCTCATGATGATATCATTTAACACGTTGACAAATTCTATCATGATGCCAGCCTTTTCTCCCATTTGTCCTATTATTATACCGAGAGCGGTTGAAAATGTTACGATTCCTGAAAACAAACACATATGTAATAGAACAGGTAAGAAAATACTTTAATCGTAAAAAGATTCATTAAAGGCATACTAAACTCAAAAACACAAATGAAGTAATATTTTAATAATTTATTTGTAGCAATAACATTTACCCTCTCCGCACTTATAAAACGAAACGGAACCAATCCGATGAGACCTCAGACAATTCTTTTATTGGATCGTGATTCTAAAAGATTATAAATCAGAACCAAATCAATTCGTAAATTCGGCAAAAAATTATTTTAAAAATTTCCTCCGTCGTTTATAAATTATCAGCCTTTTTTTGAATATAGTGTTTTTTTCATTAAAGTCCAATAAAAATAGAATTATGGATCAATTTACCTCGGTCTTTTAATAAAAATTTGGGAAAAATCGATATATTACTATACGATTGAATATGTCCCACAAAAATGTCTCGGACACATGTCCTTTTCAATAAATAACTGTATTTTAAGGACATAGATATTCAAGTATAAATAAAAATTTATATCTGGGTGAGGAATATAACCTAGAACATTCATATTGTTATTGTATTCCAATCCCCTTTGTAAAACAAGGTGATAATTTGATTGATTCGATGCGTTTCCCGCCGAAATTGGAAAAGTGAGTGAAGGGTTACTCTCAATAACTTGAGGCGTATTGACTGATACGTTTCTATAGACAGTGCCTATACTTTGAAAACAGGATTGGATCAAGTTTTCGGGAAACATATTTCTATCGAAAATAGAAAATAGGAACGATTAAAATATAAATATAGCAATGAAGGCGACTAAAAATATGATGTTTTTTTTCCTTTTGTTTAAATTTATAAGCCAATATTCTCTGTAAATACACAAATCTATACAATAATTATAGATATATATTTTTAAAATGCATCACAATTTTATATGGATTTTTAAAAAAATGTATAAGATTATAACTCAACCGTTTCTAAATGTCAAGCATTATATGTATCTGACAAAATCCTTTAAATTTAACTAATATTCAACAAAATGTTCCATATATTATATATCAATTATTTTTTATTACATTACGATAATATCACCTGATGAGATCCAGAAAAGCGTCTAAAGAAGATGGAGGTATAGTAGTTTCCTCCTCGGTGGCCAAATATTTTTTAATATCAGGATTGCCGGGATGTATTATAACAACTAAGATTATTCCCAGAACGGTCGCCATTATTGTCGTGGATATGTAGTAAACCAATGCTCGATAACCTACTTTGCCACCTGATTTGGCATCCAGTTGGGATAGGCCTTAATAATTAATTCATATAAGTAAAAATTCCTCCCCCCCCCCACCCAAGCCAAAAAATGCAGATGCCGGATTATATTTTTCAAAAATATTGAAATGGGAAAAATCATAATAAGATTTACTGATTAAATTATTTAGCACATTTTGAAAAAATAAATACTTTCACTTTAAAACTATTCTGAGAAAACATTCAAAATATATAATTCATCTTCCAATAAGAATCAAGGTTAATTTTGTCTAACGAACTCAATACCATTATTCTTAAAACAAGGATAGACTTTCAGGAGAAGGTATAGGACAAGGACAGATAAACATTATATTATAGTAAATTTTCTAAACCATTAATAAACAGGCGAATATTAGGTTTAAAAAAGGTTAAAGCTTTACCATTATATTTTTATTGAATTGACATGTCGTGGCCAAAATTTTGCTGGGAGAAAAAAAAACATTCAGCAAAAAAAAGTGAAAACCAAATATTATTTTTATAAAAATCTAATAATAGCCAAAGGCCTGCGATAAGTGGACTTAAAGATCTATAACAAAATTTATGGGGGAAAAATGCACCAAATAGTACTTACCCCCCCCCCCCCCTTCTCATTGCAAAATCCTGGTCCGCAGTGGTAGGTATATACGGGGATATTTATATAAGCATAATATTTACGAGAACAAGCAATTTTCTGAAGTGGGGATTTCCCCTTGACCCCTACATTCTGGCTACTATGATTATAGCTAATGGGATAAAGGTTTCTCGGATCAACAATCAATATTAATTCTATAAATACCATTTGTTCAAATATTATTTATTATAACAAAACTTTTAAAAAATATTAATTAAAAACTTGAACGTAAAAAAATAAATATAAATGATATTTTTACCCGAAATCAGGCTAGAAATTAGGAGAGGTAAAATAATCATTTTCAACATTCCCATCAGCAAATCCCCTGGGAATGTTATTAACGTTATAGTTAGTTGATTTGGCTTGAATCCGCGAACAATTACACCTAGTAAAAGGCCAGCGAAAACAGCGGCCATAGTTAACACTAACAAGACGTTTTTCTCGATCCATTCTAGCAACTTAAATATATTATATTAATTTTTTAAATTTTATAATGAGTAATATCTTTTAATTATATTATTATATAGTTAGTTATAAGGAAATAATAAAATATGTTAAAAAATCCTTTTCTAAAAGCAATTTAAAAATTTCTTAAAATGGTGTTTTGAGGGTTTCCAATTAACTTTTGTCTTTAGAGTAATAATTTGCTAAGTTATTTGCTTAACTTCAATTTTTAAAAGAAGTGAATGCATCACTGGGAGGAGCGGGGGGCTTTTTCCTATGTAGACTTGGCATAGTTTGTAAACTGTAATATATTTACAGGTTTTATTTTATTTAATATTTTGGGCTTCTAAAAAAAACTAACATTAAAAAACCTTAAATTCACTTAAATTAGTATAAAAAAGATTTTATAAATTTTTAGTATAAATACAATTTTTTTTAGTGGCACTACTATGAAATCATTTTATTCAGGGCCTTACTTATGGATGCACTAGGAGGCAGGCTCTTCATATAAATTTCTGGTCCTCCCCTAACGAAATTTTATCTAATTATTTGTTTTATACCCTTTACTTATATTCAAAGGTGAGTTGTCATTTAAATATAGGTAAATAAATATTCAGTAGCGTCACTAGGAGAGGGGGCACGCAGGGGCTATTGACTTCTGAAAATTTTGAATAGCCCATTTTTTTTTCATACTGGCTTCCTAATATCCTCTTGAACTAAAAAGATATTTTTTGATAGCCCCCTAAACGATTTCTTTTATAATTCTATTAAGTATTATATATAGATTTGTTTTTATTATTTAAAAATTAATTAGACTATTTAATTTTTTACTAAATGAGTGTTATTTTAATTATTAGATTAGATTAATACATATAAGTTATATTTTATTATTTAAATTATTTTTTAACCCTAATTAAATAAATATAATCATTTATTAATTAAAATTAACAAGTTTAATATTGTAATTAGACAAGTTTAAACACTTAACAACTATATTATAATATTTTTAAATTTAATTACTATGCCTCTTCCTTAAAATATTTCCAAGGTCCAAATAAGTATAAGAGATTTCTTTATAAAAAATTAAGTAGGACATATAGTTAATAATCCTTTATTATATATTAGTTATAAAATATTAGATAAAACGCCACTTTAACAGAAGTATTTGACAGTTATAGATGCATTTTTTTTAGAGATAGCTTAGCAATTGTTCCTTTTTTTAAAAATATGCAATTAGAAAAGGATAAAAAAGAAAACCATTAAGATATTTTTACAACTGAATTGCAAATTTGCATTTATTTTATAAAAAAATTGCTATACTATTTTAAAAATATAAGCATTTTTAGATGAAATTTAATTTGAATATTTTAATAAAAAATAATTATGAAATAACTTTTATTTTAATTTTTTTAAAAATTCCATCCTTATAAGAATCAACATTTGCGCATCACCCGTCATTCATATTTAGTGTGAATTCGCAAATTTGTATTCTCCGTCACGAATTAGCGGTAACTGTGAATGAGAGGTTACCCTGACTGTCGAATTGGTGGCGAAGCATATAAAATATGCTGTATTTTGGTGTATTTTATTTATGCTCATCCCACGAATTCGCGCTAACTATGAATGCAGGGTCAGTGATACTTATAACCAGAGTTGGGCTGTACCGCGAATACTTGTATCTAAGATATCCTTTTGTATCTTGTACTCAGTAACTTATTGACATTTTTAATAAGATACTAGTATCTGTATCTAAGATTCTTTATTTTGAAAAGAATCTTGTATCTTTTTCATTTTTAAAAAGATACAGATTCTTTTTAATATTCATGTTTAAAACATTTACATATCACACAATCTAACTTTATTTTCTCCTTGAAATCTTGTATTATTTTCTTTATTTTTTCCTGCTATATTTTAAATATATTGATAACCAAAATTAGTTGGAAATTATACAGATCACAAAGATAGATTAAAAATAACAACACCAAAACTAAATAAGTAAAGGTTATATTTTATATGTAATATTTTTTAATTGTAGAATGTTTAACATTTATAGTAGTGAAGATGAAATTATGGAGATATGTTCTCCTGGATCAAATCTGAATCTTAAAATTCTAGATATAAAATTTTATAAAGTAATTCATGTGAAAAAGGACAAGGTACAAGCCGAATGTCAAAATTCACAATTAAAAAAGTTATTAAAGGGTGAACAAACTCCTCTACAAACTTTGTTAAACATATTAAAGTATATTATACATTTTTATTTTATAATTATTAACATAATAATACCTATACTTAAGTCCTTCTTAGATAATTATTATTAAAATTTTTTATAGAAGATGGTTGATTATCAAATTAAAATCATTTTGGATATATAATTTTTAGAGGTGTACCGATACCGCTTTTTAAAGGTCAATCCTATCCGATATTCAATTGATATCCCAATTACCGATTCGATATCATATCTAATTTCTTTTTGATATTTAAACAAGATACTAGTATCTGTATCTAAGATTCATTTTTTTATAAAGAATCTGTATCTATATTCTTTTTCGAGGACCTGCCCAGCTCTGCATATAACCATGTTATTTTAAAAAAATAATTAAATTATTATTTATGTTATCTTACCTTGGAAGTATTATTAGATGATTTGTTGACCTTAGGAAATTTTTGCATCAAATTGAGGTCAAATTCAGAGCCAATATCTTCGACCATCTCTTCATCAGTCTTTTTATATTTTCAGGTTTCTTCCACAGGATTTAGATGGATCAGCTTCGAGCCAGTTATTACATGAAAATAGGGATTAAATAGATCAGAATGAGAATTAACTTTTGTGATATTACCATCTTTAACTTTAAGATCATTGATAGATATGTATAGGAGGGATTTAAAAGGGGCTTAAAGATTTATTTTCAAATAAAATATTAATTATTATTTAAAGACAGTTAGCAGAATATGAATGACATATTATTAAAGGAAAATAAATATTATTTAGTGTAATTTTCATGAAAAATGTGATACTTCAGGGTATATCAAATTTTTAAAATTATTCATTCTTATTTAATTTTTTTTTATTACCAAGTATTACAAAAAAGAATTAATATAATGATATCATTTTGTAAGTAAAATTTATTTATTCTATTAAATAAAAAATATATGTGACTATACAAAATTTAAAAATTTTAAGAATCAAAATAGTAAACGATTTAAACTTAAGGATCAATGTATTTTTTTTCTGTTAAAGTGTTATTTTTTTTAACTAATAATAATTTTACCGCGTTTTTTAGAACTTAAATATCCTATTTTACCGAAAATGTATTCCAGCATGTTTAAAACACTTATTTTATAAATTCCGGACAATTTTTACCTTTAACCTTTGTTTTAACATTTATATAAAAAAATCCATAGAAAAACTATATAAATTATATTATTTTCAAAGGTTCATTAGCAAAATTTTTTAAAAATCACAGAATAGGTATTTTTAAACTTGCTATAATAAATATTTGGTAAAATCAGATTTTTTTTCTAATTTCGAAATATTACTTGATTTTACCAGAATCATATTTTATAGTATGTATAGAGCAACCCACCCTGTTTTATTTTCAGGCAATTTTGTTATATAACTGTCTCGTTCATTATATTAATAAACTTTCTTTTCTATCCATAACTCATTACTAATAATGGCTGATTGTATAGAAAATATATCCGTTATATTTAATATTACAGCATTTTTATAACTATATATTATCATTTTTTTTTAAACTCATAGCGCTCTTAGTAATAGTATTTGATGAAACTACTAATCCTCAATATAAGTTATGTAAAACTTATGGAATATTACAGATTGTATTAAAAATTTAATTGAAGTCACTTAGCTAACAACAAACAAAAATGACTAAACAACTTTATTTGTAAAATTTTTACAAAAGATATATCAATTAATAAAAATATGTATTGTAAAAATATTATATATATAAAATACTTTTTTTATTTACAATGTATTGAAAAAGATTAATGTATTAAAATCGTTTTGATGATAGCGATGGTTAAAATTTTTTTCACCAATGATTCTATACTATTAATAATATATTTAGGCAACGTGTATATTTATGTTGGTACCTTTTATCACTTAGGGAACAAAAATATTACGATATTATAACTTAGAAATAAATGTGAAAATAGGTATATAATTCAATTTATAAATTTTTATCACAAATTGTTAAAGAGATTAATATTATTTTAAGTTAGTTATTTTATTCAGTTGAGATGATATTTAAAAATAAAATTTAACTTGAATATAAAATTTAAGTTTGTAATTTGTATTAAATAGCGATTATTCATAAAATGGAATAAAAAAATTAAGCTCAAAAAAAAAATATTTGAAGCACATATTTATATTTAAAAAAAATGAATTATAATAATTTACAAGAGTTAAATAATAATATATATTCAAATGCTTGCACAAGTAATACAGTAAGTTAATTTCCAAACATGTACATCATCTTTCCTATCTTTGTAATTATACTAGAGTGTGTATTCAATAATTAAACATCTAAAATAATTGAACACAATAAAAGTATTGAGTGTTTCTACACTCTATCACCACCATGATCTATATATTGAATCATAGAATCGCTTTTATTTGGAACAGTCAAATGCCCATCAGGAATAGAAATAAGGCTTTTAGACCCTCGAGGAGTGCTAAATCGATAGTGAGAAAACTTTGACAATTTTCGGTTCTCATTTTTCCCATGATTAATATGTCCTGGATCGAGATGCGTCATCTCCAAATGGTTTTTATCACCTGATTCGTAACCATCCAAATCTTTAAAAGAAGAATTCATTAAAGCATGTTCAGCATCGATCTTATCTAGCTCGGCGCGACTCAGATGATCCACTATACCGGCTCCTATGCCATCGCCCAACACATTTATAGAGGTTCTTATGCGATCTCTTTAATATTTGAAATAGTTAATATATTTGGGAATTAGAATGTACCATTCATTGATTTATGTATAAATAAATTAAGTTTTACCCTAAATTAAGTTTTACCCTAAACTAAAACTTAACCCAAAACTATGTTAAAAATCATTGATAAAAATATATCTATAAAAGCACCACTGACAGAGTTTACATCATCATCCAAATTTTATTTATATACGCTTATAAATACTTACAGTAACCAATCCACAGCAACTATTAGACTAATGTCTTTAGTCGGAAGTCCCACGGATGTTAAAACTAATAACATAGTAACCAAACCAGCACTCGGTACACTTGCCGCGCCTATACTTGCTATGGTTGCTGTTAAGCTATAAAGATGTTTGAATTTAATTTTTTAGGATTAAGTGATATTTACCCCTATTTTTCATCTAAACACGGAGAAAAGATAGTAGAAAATATGTTAAAAAAACAAATATAAAATTATGGTATGTAAGATTAAAAATAATTTTGAAATATTTAAACCTAACTGTGATAATTTGTCCGGCATTTAGTTTAATCCCATTTATCTGAGCTATAAACAATGCCGCTACTGCTTCATACAGAGCCGTTCCATCCATATTTATAGTGGCGCCAACGGGTAACACAAATCTGGTGACTCTTTTATCTACTTTGTTAATTTCTTCCAGACATTTAAATGTTATGGGTAAAGTTGCAGAGCTTTATTAAAGTATATGTGTATTTCATTTTTAAATTTAATATTACGATGTCTATAAACATCTGTTTACTCTTTGCTAAGTCTGCTAGTCTTCCAAAACTTACTTATGAAATTTACCATTTACATTATAATTGGTAGCTATCAAGTATCACATTTGCCTTCTCTATTTCCCTGAGCTACGAGAATAATATTTAAGGGTCTGCCAGCCAGAATAGTAATTATCTCAAAATAAAGGTTTTTTAAAATAGTTGCTAATATAATATCAATAATTAAAATCTTACTAAATTGAGGGCCGGGTAAATCAAGATTTAATGAAAAACAGTTTTTTCAAAACAAAAAAAATATAAACACAAAATAAATAAAAGGGTTTCTTTAATAAAAATGTGGGTAAACTGATATTTTTAAATTTCTATTCGTCTATTTATAAGCACAAATGACCTGTCAGATTTGACAAGTAATTAAACAAAAAAAAGGCTTTTAATTTTAAAATACCAATCTAAACCCTAATTCATATCTCTCAGCCTTTAAACAACCCTAATCCATCTTTCTAACCCATAATCCTCCTGCTCCTTACTTCATATATTTGTTTAATATTAAAAACTTCCTTTAATTGAACATTCCTTGAGTTGAGCGATTATCAAAAACATTTATGAGCAACCAAGGTTAACTTTATCGCATTGATGGATTCTCAAAAAAATAACATATCCATGTTTATATAATTACTCTCGCACCATAATTAATTTTAATATTATTTCAAAAAAAAAGCCATGATTTGTTTTTATATATTTTCTTTTAAGATGCCATTAATAATTTATTTAATTTTATTTTTAAATCACTTTTTAAAAGCGATTTTCTTAAAAAAATAAATCGATTCTGACTTAAATAATTAATGAAATCCTATAAGAAGATACCATATAAAATTTAAAAAAAACCATAAATTAGAAAGGACTGAAATTTTGTATAATTACCAAATTGGCAACACTAATACTTTTTGGATGGACATAGTAAAAAAAATTATAAATTTTATTTTTCTCATTCATCTTGTATGTAATTTTAATAATATAAATTTTTTTAATATACTTATCTTATAGTTAAAAGGAGTGATATAGCTTATTCCTCAAATTAATACTGTGAGGAGCAATGCACTCCCATAAGATGTATCCCTATGACATTTGTTTACCTTGGTTATTGGGGATGGAGACAAGACACAGGAGATAAAAGCAGTGACAAAAGAATATAATTAAACAACCCCTTGACGAAATATCCTGAAACTTTAACAATTTTATATTTAATATTTGATTGAGTTCTAATTTATAATGCATATTATTTATTATGTATAACCTTGAAGAAGTTCCCAAGGCGGTGACCCAGGCTTGCAACATTCCTCTCATAAAAATGTAAGGATTTTTTCTGGTCAGACCAAAATACACTAAAGGTAAAACTATCAAAGCGTGTATGGCCAGACCGGTTATAACGGTTATCATATACATTCCCAACTGTTCCACTAATTGTGCTATGTTTTCAATGGATAGAATTTTACCGGCTATCAAACACATGATACCGAAAGGTGAATACCTAAATTAACCGATATATTTATAAAATAATTTAAATATGCTTTTATTTATCCTTCTATTTTTAAAATAATTTTTAGAGTTTAGATATTGTATATAATATATATTTTTTTATCTTACCACATAATCAAGTAAACGAGTCTCATGATGATATCATTTAACACGTTAACAAATTCTATCATGATGCCAGCCTTTTCTCCCATTTGTCCCACTATTATACCGAAAGCGGTGGAAAATGTTATGATACCTGAAAGAAAACACATGTAGAATAGAAATAAAATAATACTTTGCCTAAATTTTTTTTATTAAAGGCATGCTAAACTCAAAAAAAAATGGAGAAATATTTACGCATTTTACGTAAACTCTTTTACAGGAACCAATCCGAAGATATCTAAGAAAATCCTTTGGTTGGATTGATGATTTCAAAATTTTAATTTAAACCTGGCCTGGCTGGCAGTTCGGCAAATATATTTTTTTTATTAAAATATTTTGTTTTCCTATTTTTTTTTAAGAATAAAACATGAAAATCTTTTCTTTTTTTCTGATTTTCTTCCAGCTTTTATAATTCATCCGCTATCGTTCGTAATATCGTATTCCAATAAGAATAAAATTAGGATTAATTAAACTCGGTCTTATAATAAAATTTTGAAAAATAATGGATATATAACTGCGATTGGATGTGTCCTACAAAAGTTTTTTTTCTCAGATCTGGCCGGAGTTAAAATAAGTCAGGGAGATGCATGGTCTCTCTAATAAATAACTGTATTTTAAGGACTTAGATAACCAAGTATAAACAAAAATTTATATCTCGGTGAGGGATATAACCTAGAACATTCATATTGTTATTGTATTCCAATCCCCTCTGTAAAACAACGTGATAATTTGATTGATTTGATGCGTTTTCTGCTGGAAGAGTGAGTGAAGGGTTGCTGGCAATAACTTGAGGTGTATTGATTGTTACATTCCTATAGACAGTGCCTATACTTTGAAAACAGGATTTGATCAAGTTTTCGGGAAACATATTTCTATCAAAAATATAAAATAGGAACGAATTAAAATACAAATATAGCAATAGATGAGACTTAATACACATTTTGATAAAAATAATCATATGATATTTATTTTTTTCCGCCTTATCTTTTATTTAAATTTATAATGCGATATTCTCTGTAAAGCATAACTTATAAAAAAAAACACAAATCAATACCTTGTAAATAATAATAGGCAATATATTATTTTTTTTAAAGTATAGCAATAAAATATAGATTCATAAAAAAAATGCACAAGATTTAACTCAACTGATTCTAAATGTCAACATTATATGTTGGAAGATTTCCGACACTTAAATTTAAATTCGACAAAATGTTCCATAACATTATAAGCAAATTTTTTTTAAAGTTATATTACAAGAATATCACCTGATGAGATCCAGAAAGGCGTCTAAAGAAGATGGCGGTACAGTTGTTTCCTCCTCGGTGGCCAAATGTTTTTTAATGTCGGGATTGCCGGGATGTATTATAACAACTAGGATTATTCCCAAAACGGCCGCCATTATTGTCGTAGATAGGTAGTAAGCCAATGCTCGATAACCTACTTTGCCACTCGATTTGGCATCCAGCTGGCATAAGCCTTAATAATTAAATTAGGAAAATATTTTTGTGGTAATCGTAAAGAAGGACTTATTGCAAGCCTTTTGCGTTGTATAAAGAATATCAGATATTTGAAAAAAAGATATTTAGGAATTTTTACTAAAAAAATAAGATTGGATAGCTCTGATTAGTTTTAATAATTATTAAATAAATAGCACGGAAATGTAGAAATTAAATTATACCGGTAATTTGCACTTAAATGAAAATGTAGATAGAGTATAAAAAGATATGTTAGATCTCCCCCAAAAATCTATATATGAGGGGGGGGGGAGGTGAAATGAGAATCTAAGAAATTTTAAAGCCTTTACTTACATCAATATGAAAGAGGGAATAAAATTATCGAGGCTCTGGGGACCTATGATTAAAAAATTCTTTTTTCTTTCTTTCTTTAAGAAAATCTTTAACATTTCATTTAATTACAAATATATCGCAATGCATTCGGCAAACTACAATACCCGATCAAGAATCTTCAAGTGATGAAAATTTATATATATATAATAACAAATTTTAATATTTTTAGGTAAAATTCATGTAATTTTTATTTTAATTTAAGGTAGATTCATACATTTTAGTTTAAACAATCCGCACTGCTGGTTAAAAAGATGGCGAATTTCGAAGGACTCAAAAATAAGAGGAAAAATTGACTGTATAATAGAAATTAGAATATTTTGTTAGCTAGCAGGTATTTAACAAAATAATAGAGATTGTATGTAATGAGAAGGAATTTGATCGTGTTTATCAAAAAATTGATTACGATAAATATAAAAGTGGTGAGATAGTATGGGCATCTTAATTAGCCATATAGGCGGGTGAAAAGGTTAGGATCAAAACATATCTGGATTTTACGATATTAAGAACAAAAAAAATGGATTAATGTAATAAGGAAATGGAAATATGGTGTTAAGTAGATAAATTAAACACTATAAAACAAATTTTATTTTTTAAACAAAAAAAGATTTTAATCTATTATATATTCTAAGGAAAAATTAATTAAATATTAAAATTTTACAATTTAGAACATATTTACGCAAGATGTAATACCAGATAAATTAAATATAATTTGTAAAAAATTTGTCTAAATTTTTCGAATGAAATCGTTGTTTAATTATATAATTTTTTTTGCGATAAAAACTTGAAATTTATTTTTTTTTTAAAGTTAAAAGGATTTAGAGTTTATAAATTTTATATATAAAAAAATAATACCATTATCGTAAAATTACGCTTTTATGTTTTATTCGTATTTTCCGTTTAAAAACAAAATTTTTCCAAAGTTTAACAAAATCCTTCCATATATTTTCGACAAATTCACAATTTTCTTCAATTTTTTAGATAGTATTTATATATTCCATATTCCTTTAGCGAACTTTTTAAAGAAAGATACTGCTCTTTCAACGATAAATTTGAGAGAGGAAAACTAAGTATATAATTTTTAAAAAACGTCACTAATTATGAACTTATAAAAAAAAGTGTAAAATTATATATAAAAAAAAGCCTCAATTATCAAAATATAAAAACCGTTTACGAGAGATATAAAAAGTTTTAAGGATGTGTCTTAGGTCATCTTAATTTAGATACTTAATTGCTTTTTAGTATAGGCTAAAAAGTATTTGATAAAGAACACTCTGTTTTGGTTTGTTTTAAATATTTGGTGGCATTGCTATTTTATCCTAGTTTTTTGTTTTTTTGGCTATTTAGCCGATACTTAAAAAGACGCATAAATAGACGGCTATTAAGTATTAAGCCGGCCTAAATATTATAATACATGCTCCTATAGGACAGCCTAGTTCTCATTATTTCTCTTTTTCTCAATATCGATACGATCTGATTTATATGAGTCACATGGGGGGGGAGTGAGATTTCAACCCTTTAGCAAATTTGAAATTCTCCCATAACACTTTTCGCTAACCCCGCCCCCTACCCTCCTATCACCTCTTCTCTCAAAAAATAACGCAATCAGAGCATAGTGCCTGCAAAAAATGGGATCTATAAATATTCCTAAAAATAATTGGTTAAAAAAAACACGCGAAAAGTTTAACTTTTCTTCTCCCAACTTATAAAAATCCTTGATACGCCTACACCATGATAAGAAGTTATTCATAAATTTTATTTTCGTTGGAGGAAACCATTCTTTTATAATCCGTTCACTTTCTTGAACAATTTGGATTATATAATTTTCTTTTTTTTATTCAACAGCTGAGATCTATTGGGATTTACTCTATTATTTTATGTATAATCAATAGCATATATAAGAAGTTGGTGGGGGGTGGGTGATAATTTTAATATTTGGTCATCTAAACAATAAAACCCTTCAAACCAAAATGTAAAATCATTGAGAAGGAATAAAATAAATATAATTTTACCGATTTATTTATAATTTATCTCTACTTTAATTAGATAATTTTGAGCCACCCCCCCACCCCCCCTCCACCATCTGAATTAAAATCTTATATATGCCTATGACTTGCATTAAGTGGTGGGGTAGATCAATAAAAGGTGAAAAATAAATATATTTTATTACTTTTATGTTGGAATAGTATGGAAATAATTTATAAAAATAGGCTGCTGATCATCAACAAAGCATCAAAATCAGCTGAAGGGACAAGTAGCGTTTTTTATAATTTAAACAAAAAATAAGACCAAGTCTGACGGGAGGATTACCTTGTTTTTAATAGTGTTGTTAAACGGCTCGATTCGAGCCGGTTTTTAAAAACGGCGAACTCAACACATTATTCAGAAAAATATTACCCAAGCCCGAATATTTTGCTCGTAGATGGCACAAAGGTTTGAACACCTTTTAGCGAAATCTCAAGGCACAGGCAATATTTTTCTGGCTAAAATATGCAGAGTGGTTAAATGTATCTAGATATAAAAATGGGGTATCTGTATCTAGATAGATTTTTGATTAAAATATCGGTATCTTGATATTATTTTAGACGATGTATCTGTATCTAGATCCATTTAAAAAGTATCTTTTAACAACTCTGAAAATATGGAGTAAGCCGCTTTGAGCTATTTAACAACACTAGTTTTTAACAATAGTTCCTTTTTCTATTAGACCAGTTATTACTACTCATGGATAGAAAATGATATGTTCTATTTTCTTAAATTTCTAGCCATAATAAAATCCTTTAAACTAATTCATTTAAAGTCTAGCCTCAAGAAATTCGGCTTGCAATCAATGAAAAATGTTATGTATAAAAAAATACATTTTTAATATTAAAAGCCTTTGTCAATATTAATTTAAGCAAATCTTACTGCGAAACATTACACATGGTAAGTTGTCAATTAAATATTATTGAATTACTATGATTAGAAACCATGGAAACAAAGTGTTATATTAACATTATTATTTATATATTTTTTTTTAAAAAGTCCAGCAAAAAAAATAAAATTGCGATAAAATGTGGTGACAAATTTATGTTATATAAATCAAGTTATAATATCTTTACCCGAAATCAAGCTGGAAATTATGAGTGGTAAAATAAGCATTTTCAGCATGCCCATCAGCAGATCCCCGGGGAATGTTATGAGATTTATGGTGACTAGATTTGGTTTGTATCTTCGAACAATCACACCTAGCAGAAGGCCAGCGATAACAGCGGCGATGGTTAGAACTAATAAAAGATTTTCCTTGAGCCATCGAAGCAACTTATAAGTTTATAAAATTAAATTTTTTTTTTATATAAAGAATTATAAATGTACGAGAATAATTATAAAATTAGTTAATTTTATATAAGGAAATTATAAGATAGGAAAATGAATGCTAAAAAATTACTATTTTTTTTTTAACCCAAAATACTATTTATTTTCTTCTTATATTAATATATATTTTTTTTAAAAAAATCCCCTTGTTTTTTAAGCAATATAAAATGAGTTTTTTTGCCCAGGGCTTTCCAAAATCTTTTATTCCAGGAGTAATCACATCTAGATATGTCCTTGTGGACCATAAAAAAATACATAAAATGCTTATTATAACGATCAAGCCTTTCCCTTTAAAAAAAAATGCGTTTTTTAAAATTGTTCTTTTGAAATATAGTTTATAAAAGATATTTGATTTTATACATAGAAACTAAACGCCATATAAACATATATCTTTCAAATTATAAAAATTAAATTCTATATTTAAATAAATTCGGGCCGGACTTAGATCACTAATATACATATCATTTTGGCTGTTAAAAAAAAATGATGAGTCTATTTATTAAAAGATAGAAAAACAATAAGGCTATATTGATTCTTTTCGGTATATTTTTGTTTTAGTAATAAATGGAAATGGGTAGTAAGAGAATGATGGTAAAAATTTATATTAAAAAAATATTTAATTTTATTTATAAAACATTAACTTAAATTGTAAATTAATATTTAGTTTAATAAATATTATTATTTGTGTTCTCTTACCTTGGAAGGGGCATTGGAAGATTTATCTATCTTAGCAATTTTTCCAAAGAATAAATGAATCCAATTGCGGTTAAATCCGTCACTTATACTTTCGGCAATTTCTTCATCATACCTTTTTCCTTTATAAGTAGGTTTTCTACCATCTTCTACCACATGATTCTGATTACTAATAATGTCCGTTATTCCATTAAAGGATTGGTTAAATGGAATTTCGAATTGATAATTCTCAACCTTTTCTGCCTTATTATCGTCTGTCATTATCCCTTGATTCTGGATATGATAGATTTTAAACGTTTCAAAAATGATTCGCCTTTCATCCGTATTATATCAATTTTTTTCTTAAAACCCTACGTATATAATATCCCAGATGTATTTCTTGTAATATTTACATAATAGTGTAATGATGAAGATGTCTAAATCAATTTTTTTTTGGCCATTATTCATTATTCATCATCCATCATTTTATTAAAATTATTAGAAATATATATGTATTTTTTTTTTTCAAACTTTTGTTAAATATCATATTTCAAAGAAGAGGAAAAAACAAATTTGTTTTATTTAAAAAAAAAATCTATTTTATAAATGGAATTTGAAATGATAAATCATAATAAACTTAAGTATATAAAAATAAAATTTAACGATAATAAAATAAAGTTTTATTTAATTACCGAAAGTGAATGAAAAAAATACGAAATTTGGTAAAAAATTTTTAAACACTAAAAACTTTTAAAGCTATAAAGTGTTCATATTATATAAATTAGCACGATCCTTTATTTAATATTCCTGCCAGTCAATGCTATAGTTAGAATTTAATTTCTAAGAAACAATTTTATTGGGGGGGGTCATTTATAGCCTTGCTATTCGGGCATGTGTGCTTCCATTGGATAAATATTTTTTGAATAATAATTTTTAAAAAATGAATATTATTTTAATATGTTTAATTCTCTTTAATTTCAATTTCTTTCGATTTTCTGAAATAGAGGTATCTAATCTGTCTGTGGATGGAATAAAATGTTTTTGGGGAATAGATATTAGCTCTTTTCCCGGTTATAATTTTTCGTCTCAATTATTGCTAATAACACTATTATAAATACGTGTTTAAAATATATAAAATGTAAATATGATCAAAGTTCCAGGCCAATGATGAAATGTTCTGCAATGGTAGGTAATGTGAATGTAGTTCAGTTAAATTTTAAATTACAGTTATCACAACATGCCTGCCTGCACTTCTCTCAATTTGAGTGACAATGACCCCAATAAAGTTTCTGAAATAAGCAACAAAAAAAAAGATAGAGATAACGAAATGTATTGATAATGCAATAAAACCTAGGCAAAAATTATAAGCAGGTAGAGCAAATGGATCCATGGAAATATAATAATCGAGGGCTCAATAATCATTTCTTATTATGATTTATCCTTATCTAACAATTAAAATAAGTGCATTATATCATTTATTTATGCTTCAATAAGCTGAGTGATTTGAAGAGTACACGGAATTATTTGTTGCTGATGAGATGTAATAGGTTTTATAGTAGTGAGGAGGCATGTATATTGAGCAGCAGCATTGACTAGATGTGGGAAATCTTACTTTTAAAGATGTCAGGATCGCTAATAGAATGTTTGCCCATAGCTGACGTTATGAAAATTGAAGGAGAAAGCTGCTAATAGTAGGGCATTTACTATAAGAAAGTCGGAGGGGATAAGCGGAACATGATTTTCCTGAAAATAATTTCCAAAAATTTTTTTTAGTATAAAATAACAAAAATAAATTGATCAATAAGAATTCCAGAATATTTTATTATTAAAAGTTATTTTTGCAATTTCTTTACATAAAAAAATCTCTCAAGTTGAAATTACAATTTATATTAAAAAATTAATCCTCAAAGATTGTTTTCTCAAATAATTTCTGAAGATTTTTTTTTTCGAACTCAATTAAAATTTTAAATTTAGCAACCCAATAATAAAGACACGCAAAACTTTTCACACAACACATTTTAGTGACATTTTTTTTATCGCGAATGTTTATTCAACTAAACATATTTTATAGATGAACCTTTGTAACGAATCCACATTTACATGCTATTCAGCGAAGACCATGTCAAAAAATTTTTTTATAGCTGTGAGAATTTTTTTCCGGGAGATTATTTTCCTAGGATTTTTTTTCTAGATTGGCAAAAGAATCGGGTGTAAATGACAAGTTGGAAGCTATGAAGAAAGCCGTGAAAGAATACTGAGTGAGAATGTATGCGGATGGGCAATAGGGTCGCCAAGACACAATGAGGCAGAGTGATGGAATTAGGAGGTAGAGAAAGAGAGGTGTTACAAACGATAGTATGATAGCGAGGATAGTGAATAAAGAAGTATATATAAGCAAACAAAGAAATGGCAAAATAATATAATAAAACGCGATATCGGGCTGCGCGGAAATAGAAAATATGTTTCGAATCGCAAAAGGAGAGTCGACAAAAAAGAGACAGAATAAGAAAGCGTTATAGAAGATGAAAGAGGAAATGCAGCGGGATTCTACAAGGGTGATAATAAAAATGTGTTCAGAGGTTCTGAAGACTTGGGAATAGAATGATTTACTAATTTATCAAATAGTTATACCAAGGAACTGAGGGAAAAGTTTTATAAAGGTTTATCAGGCTAGGAAGATACTTTAAATAAAATTCATTCCTCATAAAGTTTTTTTTATCATTTAAAATAATTTGTTTGAAAAATAATTTTTTTGGTATTTTAAGATGCTAGTTATTTTTTTAAAAAATGATGAAATTATTTAATCGTTTTTATGAAGTTTTTTTTAAAAAAAATAACGAAATAGTGGTGACATAGTTCAACCATATTCATGGTAAAAGTTGATCTAATGACATCGTCCTAGTTATGCGAGGCATGGTATGGAGCAAATAATTCAAAACTTAGTTTTATTCTTAAAGAGGGCCCGAATATTAAACATAATGTAGTCTGTTAATGAATCAACCGATGATGAACTGATTTGTCAGTTGGTTTGATTTCAGCTACCTTGGTTTTTGAGTAAATTCTTAATTTGGGACTTCACATGGGTCTCTTCCTTTCCTCCACAAACCTGTTAATTTGAGACTCGATTGATGTTGTCGCGACAAAAAAAATAAACAAATATAGAGGGATAGGTTCTAAATCGCTAAAACAAAAATCGTTAAAAATTGGGAACCTGGCTTTTATCTCTTAGAAAATTTTTAAAGTAAATTTGAAATTAATATTAATAGATACTAGGAGACTAAACACTATTATTAATAGATACTAGGGGACTAAACACTTGTATTTAAATAGTGTTTAGTCCCCTAGTATCTATTAATATTAATTTCAAATTTACTTTAAAAATTTTCTAGGAGATAAAAGCCAGGTTCCCAATTTTTAGCGATTTTTGTTTTAGCGATTAAGAACGGGAACCAATATAGACATATGGACAAGCGGAGTTTTTTTTTCAAAATTCAGGCGTAAAAATTAGGGCATTGCATTAGAGCCTAAATAATTTATTTTTTTCCCCCTAAAAAATTTTAGATATATTTATAATATTTTATTATGTCTATTATCATTGTTATTACAATTATTCTTTTTATCATGGTATTAAATTATAAATTCTAAATGTTAATTTATCGTTTAAATATTTATATATTAATTCGAATAAAATTATGATTAAGATTTTTTAAAAAAAATACAAATTAGTATTTTAAAAATGTAAATTATGTTTGTAATTTTTGGCACTTGTAACATGGGCGGACTGGCGAAACTTTGGCCTCGTGGGCAAATGATTACTAGCGGCCTAGGGGCTTTGTCCCCTATACCCCTATTTGAGGGTCTTCGGCCCACTTTTACCCGGCCTTCGGCCGTGACACCTTTATATGGCATATTCATATTTTACATGTTTTAACTATTTTTTATATATTTGGACAAAAATAAATCTAAAAATAGGTTAAACACAATATTATAATTAATACGGTTTTTAAGGGAAAAAAAAACTCGTTAAAGGATATCACATATTTTATTTTAAGAAATTGCAAATATAAAATCATACTAATGGCACATAAAAACATACTTATCGCAATTGCGCATATAATAAAATATGTATTTACACATATAGAATAATATTAATTATAAAATTATTACATATTGCACTATAAAATCTAAATATATTACATTACATCAAATTGCAAAGAGAATAAACCTTATTGTTCAAAAAAAAATCAGGCATATTTGCAAATAAAATGAATTAA